TTAACAATAGACCTTCATGTTTACCATTCACCATACAGTGCAACCAATATTTTGGCTGTTTTGGGACACCTCTCACTAATACATAATATTAAAAAGGAGCAAGAAACACAAGCTGTTCAAGTGCTCAGTAGATCTATACCTATAACACTGGGCCCAAACAATTTACCATCCTGAGTTTCCACAAGTGACTGAACCTTTCAGGTTCTGGATTCTGCTATACAATTAACTTGCTGTAAGCCACTAGAATCATCTGGACTTCTCTTTCCTACCCCCTTCCCTCTCCATCCCCCCCCCAACACCTTAGAAAGAGAAAAAAGCCAGAGGCCACAATAAGTAACAAAGACATATGATTAACCCCTTTATGATATCTGTGGTGATAGCTGTAGCAGCAATAGTGGAGTTGCCTCACTCTTAACAAGAAAATGCAATAGCACCCTCAAAGCACATGGCAGAGAAGAGTGGAAATAATCCATTCCTTTCCAGCTCAAAGGTACATTACTTCATTTGAGTTTACCAACAAATGTTATCTACTGCTCGTCTTATCTGCAGTACTTTTGTTTTAAAGACAGAGACCTCTGTTGTTTCTTTACCAATACTGCAATAAAACCTTCAGTAAGTAAATGGATCTTCACTCTGTGGACATCAGTCCTTATTTCACAGAAATTTTTATACCACCTTATCTATAGGGGCATTATAACCTTACATACCAACAAGGTTTCTGACATGCATACAACCAAGTACAGGTAAGATTCTTGGGTAAATGTGGTATCTTTTATTTGACCAACTGAATAGCTGGAAAAAAGTTCTTTGCAAGCTTTCAGGTACAAGCACCCTTCTTCAGGCATAAGGAGTCTCTGCTATTCTGAGATCTCCAAGGAATTGAAGATGGGCACTTGTGCCTGAAAAATTGCAAACAACTTTTTTCCAACTATTCAGCTTGTCTAATAAAAGAGATCACATCTACCCAAAGAAGCATGCCTGCCTATGTCCTTAGGTCCATACAGCTACTAACAAAAACCCTATGACCAAGTAATCGTTAAAGTTGATAAAGGCTACAAAGATAGAGCTTGAATGATAACCTAGTATCCTTCAAAGATTCTACCTCCAATCCAACATTTCAAATACCTTATTGATTTAGGCAGAGTTGCGTCATGCCAAAATTACTACTTCATTGTAAGTCTCCATATATTTGCGTCCGTATTCCTGGAAGAGGGGAGGGTGGGGGTCGGGGAGTGAGTGTGTCCAGTACTGAAAGCAGATTTTGGTTAGGTATCTGCTCTGGTCCCCAAACTCTTCACATTATTTGACCTTATCTCCTTATTTTAGTGTGAAACAACCAATTACTGGGCTTGATCTTCAGGGGAAATCAGTACAACTTCACTGAAATCCATACATTATGAAAATAGGTAGTTGAAGAAACCAAGGTGCAGAGGAAGATTAAGTGACTTGCTAAAGTTAGGCAGCAAATCAGTAGCAGGGCTGGAGACGAGGTGAGGTGTAACTCAAGCAGAAGGCTGAGAGGGATACACCCAAAGGTCCAATTACCTTGTCAGCAATGTGGATCAGGAAAGTCTCCCTGTCTAGCTCTGAGTATTTTTTTTCAGTCTCATTTTCATCTCTGTCAGACTTGCTATTTTATCTGCAGGTAACAAGACAGTAAGGGTTTTACCTAGATTCTGTTATCTGAAAGAGACTAATGCTTATCCACGTGTACCGCATGGACGTGAAACACCAGAAATCTAGTTTATCACCTGTCGATAGGACTACTATGGGATGACAGGCCATACACTTCACAGTAATTCAGTAATAAGTCTATTATTATTCTATCATATCTCTCCACCCTCTTAAAAAAACAAATACCATTACCATTAACTAGAAGCAGCCACATTTCCAGGAGTGACCACCAATTTTGTGTGCCTATCTTTGAGCAAGGCAGAGTCCAGTTTTCAGATATTCAATCTAAACCAAGGCGTCCTACAACAGTGGTCACTTTTCAAAATTTGCCTATATTATTCATCTGCTATCAGAATCATATTAAACAGCTAGTAGAAACTTAGTGCCACAAATGTACAATACAGATTATCTGAATCTTCTTAAAATTCCACTCACTCATCTTGACTTAAATAAAATCTAGATACAAGACATAAAATGCTGGATGTCAGACTCAACATTTAGAACTGAGGCAGAAGGCAGGGCAGCATAGCACTTTGGAGACCAGTTTGTTCAGAAAGGTATCAACTTTCCTAGGCAATAGCCTACTTCATCAGATGGTATGAATTAGATGCTCCCTGCTCCATCATCAGTTACAATATAGATCTCCAATCTTTTGCAATAGTTACTTGTATGGAATGTATTCCTGTTCCCCCATTCTGCAATCCACATCTAAACACAAACTTCCTTAAAAGTGACACATTTCAAACTATCATAACAGAACCAGATGTACACTATCTTCAAAAGGCAATACATGGTAAAATAGCATGATTAGGTTCACTGCACCTTAATCTTGTTCTTGCAACATCTCTTGCAGAAGTACAATCAGACAGCCACAAACAGACCTACAGGAACCTGGATACAGTCTGCTGCTTGGACATAAATCTATTAACACAACACTTTCTACAGAAGATTTATCATGGAAACAAATTGAAAAACTAAATCATACTCAAAACTCCTGAGGCTACATTTTAGGCACTATTTGCTTTAAACTACCTTCCCATCCAGGGTTAGAAAAATAAAGCTACTGATTATTACCCATTATGCCTATTCTTTGCTCAAACCACTAGAAAAGTAGAAACCTCTCAATAATTGTTGACACCATAAAACAGCTGATTCTAGTTTTTGAAGACTGGACTTAAGCTATAGAATTAATTTTACTCTGAGATTTCTCAAATCATTGTGAAAATTTCACTGAGGCTGTAGAGAAAACACAGTTTCTTACTATTAGAGAGGTTTTCTTCCCTGATAAATTAAGCATGATTCTTCAAATTCACCTCTTTTACAGCTTCAGACTAAACATTTCTGTATTAGAGCATGTCATCTACCCAATTACCCACTCTAAGATCATCAATGACCCTAACACAGGCTAGCTCCTTTGAGTATCCTCAAAAGACCTTGAACAGATATAGTGAAAGTCTAACAAGTGGTTGTCTACAAGTACTCACATTTCAAAACATTTCCACTATAACCAGTTGTATGGTCAACTGATTCAGATTGCATTGGGTGTTTTCTTTAGCAACATAAACAACCAGCTGCACACAGGAAGTAATAAGACTGAAAACATTAGGTTAACACCACAGGAAAGTGTTTAATCCCATTTCTACTGAAGCTAACTTCAAGATTTTTCCTTCCCTTGCTTCTTCTGGAACCCAATCAAGCCCTAAATGAGAAAAGGTCAATCCTAGGATACTATTCTACACAAACTGTTTTAAAAAAAGCTTTTTCCACTCTTAAGAATGTTGCCAATACCTCTGAGTCTGCTGGGTTTTTGTTGGAAATCAAACCTACCCTGGAATTTTCTACCATTGGTAATGTGTAATTCTATTATGGGCTGGGTTATATTCACAAAACTCATTGGGACTCTTTGGTAAACCAAAGACAATAAGTTTTTCTATGAAGACTTGACAGGCACTGAATTTTTAGCTAGGAACTAGCTAGTAATTGCATTACACCAATATGGAGGAATACTTTTTTTATGTCATCATAATTTTAGTATAAAGAGCACATTTATGTTAATCTTTTTGCCATACAGAAGTATTCTAAGATACCCAAGCCACAGTTCACCATTCTACAGGGCTCACTTGATTTTATTATACCATGAGTGCCAAATCTCAAATGCCCAAATATACAAGCACCAGCTTCAGAGGATGTAGTGAGGACATATTAATTTTTTTTCCTGATATTTGAATCTGCTTCCAATACCAGTAAACTTGAAGTGCTTTAGGGCCCAAGTCATTTTGCTATTTAAAACCATGGAAGTTTTACCGTAAATTAACTGGTGCAGGATCTAAGAGAATGACTAACATTCATTTTCATACAAAATTACTGAAGAAAATAAAATGACTTTTTTTTTTTAATTGGCACTCCTAGAAGTCAGATGATTGGGGATCCAAAAAGTACTCAATAGAGAGGTCACAAGAAGACCATTGTTCTCTGTCTTAAGATACTCTTTACACAATACCAGCCATACATTCTTTTGCAAGAAGGGTCCTCAGAAATTCTGCAGGCAACATTGGATTCCAAGGCTGTAGAGTTGTAGACAGCTGTAAGGTCTCGGTATTCTATTGTAAACCTTCAATTAAAGTGCTGCACTTAGTGCTAGAATACTACACAATTCCTGTGACCATGGAAACTGATATTTCAAAAACATACTTCCTCATAATGGTGAAAAGCTCAAGTATTTTACATGGCCTTTAAAATGCAATTGGTGTAGACAACAGGATACGAAGCTGTAAGACTAGCTTTAAACTAAGTCCTTGTTTATATGCAGGTTTTATATTGTTACAGCTATTTTGGCTAGAAGTGTGCATGATTTTTCATTCAAATCAATAAATGTGGCATGACCTTCACTGTGGATGCAATCATCAGTATTAGAGGTGCCTTACGCTGGTGTGACTTGTTCCTAATAAGGAAGGTGAAATAAGATGGCTGTATAAAACACCTTTATACTGTATCAGTGTAACAGCTTCCATACCAAGGGTGGGAAAGAAACAAGTTATATGCTCTAATTATACTGGTTTAGTTAAAGCAGTATTGTTCTCTACTACAGACAAAGCTTACACTTAGTGAACTGCACAGCAATTTGAAGCATCTGGAAGATGCAGTCCTCCTTTCTGCAGTATTCTCCCCCAGAAGTAGAAGATATTTTGAATATTCCCATGCATGCACAACTTTTACTAGAGCCAGGCCATATAATTCCTTAATGCCTCACCTATGTAAAAAATATACCCCCTTGTTGTCAAAAACTGTATACACACACACACACACACACACACACACACACACACACACACACACAGAGTATTTATTAAAATATCTTCATCCATTCTGTCATCCATTTTTCTAGGCCAACCCTAAAACTGTAGGTTACATTGTGCTACTGTTTCCTATATACACATTCACATCGTACTTCAAGCAAGTTCTCTTTAAAAACAGAAAAGAAAAATAGAATAGAATAAAAGAAGAGAGACCTAAAAAAAAAGAGCAGTAAGAAACCATGAGGCATTTTGAAATTTGGCTTCTGCTTAATGTATCAGTAACTGCTATTTTGTTGGAAGAGGATTAAGACTTGCCTGGTTTTATTACATTGACAGCAACTATTACACAAAAAAAACTGAGCAAGGACAAAACTGAGTAAGTGATCAACACATTTTCAAGTTATGATCCAATTCCTGGTAGGTGGTGGGAAAAAATAACAAACTTTCCAGCTACCAGTGAAGCTAGTGGGAAGTTTCTCCACACCTGGGAAAGAGTGAAAATCTAGGCAGGATCAGACTGGATTAACTATAGCAAAGACTTATGCATAGAACATTCTTCTTTTAATCTTTGATGTAAATATGCCTGCAGTAAATGCTTGTATTCAAAATACAATTCTCCTGTTGGGAATTTGGCCTTTATTATTAATAGCAACTATTCAGCATGTTGAATCTTTATGGTATAATTCTGTCAAGTTTTTGCTAGGTACTAGAAATTTTAAAAATGTTGGTGAGAGAAAAAAAAAAAAGTGCCCATTTTTCAAGTGATGGACAACCATGAAGGCCCCCATCCTGCATGTTGGAAGTCAACAGGAGTTTTGTGTCTGAACCAGTGAATTAATAAATCATGGTTTAGAACTGGGGTAAGGAGAATTGAGCACGGTGAATTTAAATTAGCATGACTAAAAATTCCTTTCCACTGAACTGCTGAACTTCCAGTTTCTTGTTGTATCGTAATTTCATTCATTCTTAAGGACTTTGGATAGAAAAAGAATCATGAACAAGTAGCATTAAGAAACTCCAACATGTTTTTTGGAGCAAGGATGGAATGGAAGGGGAGAATAGGTCTGTGGGACAGACAAAGAGCTTTCAAGCCTTCATCCCACTTCAAGAAGTAGGAGGGAAGGGCACAAGCCCATTTTTCCCTTATACAAGTCATAAAAAAGAAACCAACAAGGAATCACAATCTTAATGCATAATTAAAAAACACCTGTATTTCAATAAAATGTAAAGCTTCAAATGTATGAATTTAGCACTTCAACTAAAATAAACCATATTGTTCTTAACATCAAAGACATTTTTTAAAAAGGCCCTAATCTACAAGCTGTTCTGCATAGGGCCCCTACCAACTTCAGTAGGCATCTACTGGATGTAGAGTTCAACCCACATGCAAAAGTTTGCAGGATCAGGGCCTGGTATTATTGTTCAGCTGCTCCCAGCATTACCAGCATTTAGATGCAACAATTTTCTCCAGCCTGATGATGTTTAAAAGTGTCCTCCCTCATTTTTTCCTCAAACACTTTACGTGCATTCAACAGAAACCAGGAATAATGGCATATGTCCTGTTATGGCTGTGTGTTAAAGCTAGTCTTCCTTACAACGTATAAAAAAAAAAAGCCACAGAAGTTGTTCCTTTTTAAAAAACAAAACATGATATTTGTATTAAAAGTCTTAAAATGGATAGACATCTATTAATTGTGTGTCTGAAATTAAAGATACAGTCATTAGAATTTTTTTGATACATCACAACATTAAGATTTCACTCTTTGCTGGCTGGAGGTACATCCTAAAAACAAGGGGGAAAAAAAGCCCGGGAAATTAAAATTCCAGTAAATTTGAATTAAATGAAGCCAAAACTTGCAAGACACGGAAGTTACATTTAAAAGGCTCAAATGGAAATAAAAAATAAATTCCTCTCACAATAGGCCCTTTTGTCCTGGCTTGTTGAATATGATTACTGAAAGGAAACTATTAAGTAGTTTTTGGAGTAGTAGATAATGGGATTCTGTGGAGCTTTCACAGGTTGGCACCGGCTGGAACAGCTGAGTTTTGAAGGCACTCTATAGACACAAGGTTGCTGTTGGCCCTGTATCGCATTTAGGAAGTCTTTGTACTTAGAGAGCTAGTCATCAAAATCAGTTATTGCCAACCCAAAAAAGAAAAAGAAAGAATAAAAACCATCACCACTCCACCCCGGGGAGAGAAAAAAAACCCAAAAACACACACACACACACACACACACACACCTCAAAAAAATGTGCAGATTTGTAACATTTTCACAGCTGATCAAAAAAGAAAAAGGAAATTAAAAAAAAAAAACAAAAAAAACAAAAAACCTCTACCACTCTCCCCCAAACTCCCATCCCATACAGCAGGTAAACAAAATAGAAGATTATTTCACAAATAATCAGCAGACACTTTCTGGCACCCCACACTGTATTGGCATCAGTGTTATTCAAGTCCAGTTCAGATGTGCAATACTTCAGATTGGATACACTGTAACAATCATCCAACTTTGCATAGAAAGCCTCAGGATCACTCTCACAGTCGCAGGGGGAAAATCCAGCAGGCCAGAGCAGGGGAGCAGGAATCTGAGCTGGAGAGATCGCTCCCCCCTCCCTTCTGCTCCCCCAACTTCCCGGGGTGCATTTCACTCTTCCAGTTAGAAAGCGATCGCTCGGAAACTTCCCTCTCCGCGTGCTGAAACTTTTCTTCCTGGTGTCACTTGCCAGCACAGCCAGCTGCCAGAGGTATTAGGAGAAGCAGGCAGCAATCTCCGCGTCCGTGCCGAGAAAGCCGCGTTTCCCCCGAGCTTGCTTGCAGACGTGGAGAGGCGGCTCCCCCTGCCCCAGGCCCCCCGGCCTCTGCAAAGTTGCCTCCAGTCTCGTCCCAGAGGGTCGCTCGCCGCTTCCCCCTGCAAGCCCTCCCGGCCGGCCGCCCCTCAGAGGATGACACAGGCCGAGCAGCACTGGTCGTCCCCGTTGGGCTGAGAGGCGTAGTTCATCTGCCGCACGATCTCGGCAAAGAGCTCGTCCACCGAGGCTTTGTTTTTGGCTGACGTCTCCATGAAGGGGCAGCTCCACTCCTCGGCCAGCGCTTTGCCTTCCCCGTACGACACCTCCCGCTCGCCCTCCAGGTCCACCTTGTTGCCCACCAGGATCATGGGCACCTTCTCGTACCGCTTCACGCGGATGATCTGGTCGCGCATGGGCTTGATGTCCTGGAAGCTCTGCTGGTTGACCAGGCTGTAGACCAGGATGAAGCCCTGCCCGTTCTTGATGTACAGGTCCCGCATGGAGGCGAACTGCTCCGTGCCCGCCGTGTCCAGGATCTCCAGCACCGAGGGCGAGGAGTCCACCTCGATCTCCTTGCGGTAGAAGTCCTCGATGGTGGGGTCGTACTTCTCGATGAAGGAGCCCGTCACGAACTGCACGGTGAGGGCGGACTTGCCCACGCCGCCCGAGCCCAGCACCACCACCTTGTACTCCCGCATGGCTCCGCCGGGCGCTCGCAGGCAGGCTGCGGGCTGGGCAGGGCTGGGCTGGGCTCGGCTCTCCCTCCGCCCCGGGGGGAAGGGGCGGGGAGAGGGGCACCGCCCCGCCGAGG